ATTAGCTCTTGAAAGAACTGGTAATTACTTAGTCTGCGCACTGCTTAACAAGGAAGCAGAGAAAGAGAAGAATAGAGCGAATATTCACCCAGTGCAGTCACTATGGCAACTTTGAGCATGTGTATTAATATTAAAATGGTGACTAATCTCAAGGGGAGGTGATATCACGCCCAAATAACTAGTTTATAATTATATAAGATGGATTAAGATATGGAAAGTACCTTTGTAGTTCTTGACTCACGCTCCAAGGAATGATGTGAAAGTCACCTTGAGCTGTTCTCTAGTTTCATCAGGCCAAAGTTATCTAGCTCACAAGGCTCAAACATCTTCTAAAAGACGTCTAAAGGCACCTTTCACAGCCATAGACTCAAACTCTATGTTGAAAATCATCCTGATACAAGTTTTTGATTGTTTAGAAGCTCCTATTTCACTATTACTCGCCACAATCAACTTAACCATGATATACTATATGGATAAAAACAATAGAACATGAGAAAATAATCAATTATTTTTATTCTTGCACAGTTGTTCCTGTCCGAAAATTAATAACATACGAAATTTCAAAGATCTTATGAAGGATCCTACAAGTACCTCTGATTCAGAAGCTACCATGTTTACTAGACTGTCTGCCAACTGCCACAGAAGAGATACTTTGAAATAAAAGTAAAGCATCACTACTTTACAATGATAGTGCCACATGTCTTGACCATACCATATATTGGGTATATTTCAATGCATTAATAATTTTGGAAGAAGCAATAAATTGCGAAATTAAATATTGCGTCATTTTTACATATTGCAATTTAGAATATCCGGAAAAAAGAGTATCCGGTAGTTTTACAGTATTTAATTTTAAACATGAGGCTGAACATGTCTCTCTACAGCTACTTCCAGAGACAAAGTCATGGCCTTCCAGACCTCAGAGGGACACTGTCAAGCTACCTGCCACCTAAAGCAATAGCTATGGCCAATTCAGAAGTAGAGAAGACGATAAATGCTTCACAATCTAAGAAAAGAGTGTCCTATCACCAGTATAGCCCAGGACACATGCTGCCATTGGGAAGTTTGCTTCTTTTAATGGAGTATCTGCTTGTTCAAGGCATTTTTCCAGACAACTAAAGCAATATGTATCAACCAGCACAGTTCTATCTATCAAGAAGTCCTACTTAGAAGAAAAGAAACGCCGTGATCGAGAAGGTCATCACAGTAGGCAAGAAATTATGAAACTACCTTTGAAGACAAAAGAAAGACCACCTTTACTTGGAGATATAGACAGCAAAGTCCAAGTTTATCTAAAGAACACCCTAGAAAGTGGAGGTATTATAAATTCAAGGATTGTAATGTCTGTTGCCCAAGGATTGGTGCTGTACTTTAATCCATCTCTCTTAAGGGAAAATGGTGGTTGTGTTGAGTTAAATCGAAATCAGGCTCTGTCTCTTCTTGAGCGTATGAAGCATATTAAAAGAAAGGGTAGCACAGCTAGGAGCAAAGAATCTGTTTCAGATTTCATGGAGCAAAGAAGTACCTTTTTGTAGGGTGTTGTTGCTACAGTTGAGATAGAAGAAGTTCCTTTTGAGCTCATACTAAATTGGGATCAGACAGGGATAAAAATTGTCCCCAGCTCAAATTGCACTATGGAAATCCAAGGATTCAAACGTGTGGAGATCACTGGTATAGCTGATAAACGTCAGATAACAGCTGTGCTCTGTGGCAATCTTGTAGATGACTTTTTGCCTGTGCAGCTGATATATCAAGGGAAATCAGATCGATGTCATCCTCATTACGAATTCCCAGATGATTGGGATATAACCCATTCACCCAGGCACTGGAGCACAGAGACAACAATGCTACAATATTCTGAAAATATAATTCTTCCCTACATTGAAGGTGTTCATCACAGATTATATTGTGATTCTGCTGCTGCCCTAGTAATAATTGATAATTTCAAGGGGCAAATAACACCAGCTGTTAATATTTATTAGAGTCAAATAATATCCATACTTGTCTCCTTCCTCCAAACACAACTGATCGTCTTCAGCCATTAGACATTTCAGTAAATAAACCTGTTAAGGATTATCTTAAACGTAGGTTTGATGATTGGTACTCACAACAGGTGGTGCAACAGATAAATGGAAAGAGTGATGATGAACTTGAAGATTATGAATTAGCAGCAATTGATTTGAGTATGGGAGATCAGTGCAGAATGGATAGTTGATATGGCAGAATACATAAGCTAGAATCCAAAATTTCTTGTAAATGGATTTCTAAAATCTGGCATTACTGGAGCACTTAAGGGCATCAGTGACATGCAAAGCAATAGTGAAGAACTACCATATGAAGCAGATCAAGATGATTCATCAGCAGATGAGTCTGAAGATATTATTGAATTGTAATTCATTTTTCACTTACACTGCTATCAATTATAGTAACATAGAAATTTAGAGTTATATTTATCATTAATTTGTAAAACAACACAAAACATTAAAATCATTTTAAATTACAAAATAACATGTTCATTAGCTCTTTATTGCCTATGAAGGTGACTCGACATGGAATTTCTAGTCCTCCCTAAGGTAAGTCAACACTATACCGACGTTTGCCAGTGACAGTACATGACATGAGTCCCCTCTTTTTAGAAAAAGTGAACAGACACGACTAAACTTGTGAGGTAAGTGACCAACAACCATTCCTCTATTTCACAGCTACAGGGTACCTGTCCTTCTCATTATCAGTTTCTCTCTCACACACAAGTGTTTCATCTACAACAGCATCCCAAACCTCTTTATAGACCTGGTATCCTCGAATACACAACTCTTTTCTCCTCTCTTCCATCTGCTTCTTCTTGAAATTTCTTTTCTTGACCACGTGGCAAATGAGTAATTTTCAATAGTATTAATTAAATGGAAGTTAATTAATTTCGCAATAAAACTGTCATCCGAAATTTCCCAGCAGTGAACTTTTTAACTGCAGGCCTTTTCATGCATTGAAATATACCCAATATACGGTATCTCACCGTATCTGCACAAAACTCTGCATACCAAAATTTACACATGAATAAAAATTTCATGAATTTTAATTTTGCAAAAACAAAAATTAAATACAGACTAAAATTACCAGTAACTGATGTCATCAAGGTCTTCATCACATGTGTAGTAAACATTTGATATTTGCTGTCCATTCCAGGCAGACCATGCACCCCCCCTTTTGTACCGAGCATGTCCATTTAAATTCAGTATTTTATCAATTGACAATCATTACTGATCTTATTTCCTTGTTAGATTTATATTTTCTGTTCTAAAATACTCATTTAATAGTAAATGCGTTGGCAACATCCTGTGTCTTCAAAGCATTAGAATGGTGTGCTACTTAACATCAAGGCCTTTTGGTGTTTACATTAAGGATACACAATAAACTTTTCAAATTTATCAGTAAATTGTGACCATAATTGACAAAAAGGTACCTTATGGCGGATTTTAAAATTCATCATTATATTGAAAAATATCAACCAGTGAGTGCTCTGTTAGTCGACCATTGTTTCTAAAAGTTACATAGTAACTTTTACATCCTCTGGAGTAATTTTATGATAAATTGAGCTCAGGAAGTTGGATTTTTTAAGCTATAAAGACCAATTTTCCTATGTGCCATAAGGTACCTTTTGCCAATTATGGTCACAATTGATCATTACAGAATGACGTAATCATTTTCAAACAGAGTATAGTGGGCGGCCCAACAATTTGATAATTGATGCTCTATTGAATGGTTAAACTAGCTACTGTAATCTGTCTCACACTACTAAGATATGTAAGGACAACACAAAATGTTGCTAGAACCATTCTCATTTAAAAGCAAATAACCAGTGCAAATTGTGATGATAGCACAATAAAAATTGTTGGTATAGGGATAGATGTCTCCTCTATTTCCATTGATATAAATACCAACATATATTGCCACCACTGCTAGAATGACAGGTCTCAAAAGAGTCAAAGATAACCCCAATTGCTACATGTACGTGTAGATCTAAAGTCAACACACATCCGTTAGCAATGTATACCGAGATGCTCCGTTTGAAATCCCTTTCATTTATTCTAATATCTATGTTCCTATACCATCATGCCCCTAGACTCTAAACCCTAAACCCTAAACCCTATTAACATGCACTGTAGGTGCACCCACCCCACTTAATTACATCCATGCATGCAGGGGCGTATCTAAGGGTGGGCCTGGGTGGGCATGTGCCCGACCAACTCAGCAGAAGTAAAAAATTCTTTTGTATATTAGTCCTTTTAAAAGTTAATATGATGAAAGCAATGAGACAAGACCAGCATAGCTAATAGTTTTAGTCGGTGTAAATGTGATGATAACATGGTGAAACTTCCATAATTCCATATGAGCATTTGGGCTACCATTTTTAAATAATAACTACTATTAATCAATCTGCTATTAGACTATTCACTTTAATATTAAATTAATCGAGTGAAAAATGGCCAAGAAACTGTGCTGGGACTTTTTCAATGTCTTCCCACGGCCAGTACTACTACAAAAGAAAATATAAGCATTTAGGGGGGGTGATGAGGGTGCTTGAACACCCCCATTAGCTTCAAGGATCAACATTTCTTTCTTCTGCTTCTTTAAGCTCCGGTGTCTCATATCACTGCTAAGTGTCTTAAGAAAGTTATTTAACACACTTAACAATCATTTCAGCCTCAATTTCAGCATTTTCCAGTGCTTTAAAGGGAAGTAGGAAGCGCCAAAGTGCCTGAAATTACCGTGACCGCGCCTATAATATTCAAAAAGCTAAGCATGCATAAATAATAATTGCTAAAAGGCGGAAAACAATATTTTAGCACAGTAAAAGGGGGTGTGGTCAAAATTGCAGCACACTTCGTGCACAACATATTTTTCTTAGTGCCCGTCCAACTCTCACAGCTTATATATGCCCCTGCATGCAAGAGCTCTATTGTTATGTTTAAATATTTCATGAACTCTACAAACAAAACTACCTTAACAACAACTGCTCCATCAGCTAAACAGGCAAACTTTCCAGAAGAAATGGTAGTTTTCCTTAAAAGTATACAAGAGTTAAAAATTATACAACTGAAATATATATATAGTGCCCGCTTACTTCCCTCCAACAGTCGCTTCAACAGAAACTCTTCCCTCATTGTTGAGCCATCTACAATGTCTCTGTTCTGGTCTGAAATTTCCGAGAAAAAGAACAGAATTACTTCTTTTAGCCAAGAGCCTAGCCATTGTTCACGTTTCACCATTAGATCTACAGTGAATACACGTGAAGTCGTGAACAATTGAACATAACAGAACACGAGGTGGGCGTGTCGCCGAACCCTTTGCAGTTTCTAATTCCATGATCGTGGAAGGATAAAAAGGATGTCCATTCCGACCAGACCTTTCCGCTGCCTATGGTGGAGATCTAGGAAAGAGAATAAACCTAAATTTAAAAAAGGTAACCCAAAAATGCTTAGCTGCAGATGGCAGTGTCACCTTACCATTAGACTGGTTACATATCTAAAGAGGCGTGTCGAGGATGCCCAGTTTATTTGCGGCCCTTTCTCACTTGCTATTGTTCATAATCACTCCAGTGGTTGGCATGTAGATGAAGAGTTAGTGGCTGCTGCTACTGCCTCTGGGTAATCACAGGAAAGGTTCTCCTATTTATTGAGATCTAGAGTAGCAAATAAACCTGCAGCACACTGAAAGAGTGAGCCAATTTTATGAAAGAAATTTACCTCAGAAAATTACTGTTTTTAAATGAATTATTTTATTTTTGTGTTTAGCTGCAGATGATATTGTCACCATATTAGGCTCATTGCGTGATCTGAAAAGCCTTGTCGAGGGTACTCAGTTTATTTTTAGCCCTTTCTCACTTGATCACAGTCAACTCTCTTTGCTCCACCACCTTGTCGTATCTCATACTCCTGATAACTTTCGTGATGGAACAAAAGCAAAATAGCCAAGAAAATAACAGACATATTTGATTGGCAAGTCAAGAGACTTGTGTATGCTATAATACTTACATGTATTATATCAATGAAGTGAGTTAGTATAATTGCATAATTTTAAACTTGAAATTTGTTTGGGCCTTTTTTACTGTAATGTTATGCACTTTATTTTGCTTCATAGGGTTTTATATATGCTTGTGATGTCAGACATTTTTGTGCTCAGCTCCAATGTGGTAATGTCAGGGCAGTTGAAGGTTTATGCTCGCCTCCTGACTCAATCATCTTCAGCTCACCAGAATGGATCAGCATGGCATCACTTCATGATCCAGTCTCGCTCTTGACACGTACACTTGTTAATCATTGTGTAAGAAAATCTAGTGGCACCTTGTTCAAGAAAAAACTAACCTCTGGTAGACTGGAGGTAGAGATTGATGGAGGTTAGAGATTTCATGTACTTGTACATGCACATGAAAGTAACAGAAGGAGAGAATTAGAAGAAATGTGAAAATAGAAAGAATGTAGAAGGGGAAAAGAAGCAAGCTGATCAAAGAGAAGTGAAAGAATAAGAGAGGAAAGGGAGCATACATGTACATGTATAAGAACATCATTTAATGATTTAAACAGTCTATCATTATAATAAGACAGAGGAGAAAGGGAGGGGTAGAGTGCATGTCATTACAGTGGAGGAGTTACTCTACAATAATAATCCGACTCCGTGAAATTAATTTATAATGATTATACATTAACAATGATTCCTCTCTCTCTCTCTCTCAAAAGATACTTTTCTGAGATTTTTTTTTTTGAGTTATGAGCAATTTTAAAAACAGCCAATTTTCAAATAATGTCCAGAGCTATAGTCCATAGTTTTTGCCAAAACATGGCCCTAAAATCAGTCAAATCACGCATATTTTTACGTTTTCTAAAAGAACTTGATGTACTAAGGCTATGTACAATGTAGCAAGTTTAAACTGATCCCGACAATTTTTTTAAAGCAACAACCATTTTTATAAACAGCAATTATTCGAAAAATACACAAGGTTATAGTCCATGGTTTGTTCCAAACAATGGCTCCAGAATCAGCCAAAATTTTGGTAAAATTTGTGATACAATATTGATGTCCTTATTCCATGTAGAAAGTTTGAGCTGATTAAAAAATATATTTTTAGAGTTATGAGCGTTTTCTAAATTGCCAACTTTTGATAAGCTATGATTTTTTGCAGAAAATGATCCGAAAGTAGCCCACATTTTCATTACATTTTCTGATACATATTGATGTACTTGTGCTATGTAGAAAGTTTATGCTGATTCCAGCGTCAATTTTAAAAGTTATTACCATCTCTTCAAGAAATATTGCCTCCAATATTTACTATTACTATCACATACAGAGTTGTTGTAAGACACTGTCTTCCTTTAAGAGTTCTGGTCCACCTACTCAACCTATGAAGAATAATAAATAAATAAAGAAATGAAATAAACCATAAAATTTCTCTAATACAACGTGTATAGAAGAAATGTAACTGTGGCATACATACAAACATCACACGAGAGTAAATTCAATTATACATTAGGAATGACATAGGACTTCACGCCTGGTCGTAAAATTCATAAAAATTCAATTTTGATCTGAATTAGCTCATACTTTCTACACAACAAAAAAAACGAAACATTTTTAAAAAGAGATTTTTTGCATTAATTTTTTTGGCAAAATTTGGCCCGTGACCCAGCAGGAAGCTTGACTCCATTTTTGAGTAACTTTAAAAGTTCATAAAAATCCATCAAAGTAAGCACAAACTTTCTACACAACATAAGTGAATCTAGTCTTGCATAGCCAGACCCAACTCCCTTTCTATTATTTGAACGGTTAAAGTTCATGTATACATTCATCGAAAAATATGCTAGTATTAATAAAGAAAATTCATAAATTTACTTTTTCTGGTCCTGGTCACTCATCAGTGTTGAGTGTTAAGACATTCCAAACTAGGCAGGGGCGTAGCCAGGGGGAGGGCAAGGGGGGCAAATGCCCCCCTTTTTAAAATCAAAATTTAAAATTAACAAAATAATAAGCTACTTTTGGAAGGAAACGCTGTTCTACAACTTACATATGAAAGGAAAAAGGCTAAATCACTCCTTTTATGATACCATTATAAAGCTGAAAAGGTATTCAATGTTGCCTAAGATTTTTTTAAATCAAATTTTGATTGGAGTCAGCTCCAACTTTCTACACAACAGACATGTAAATACGATGTGAATGTATGGTTATTATTATTTTTTGTTATTGCAGAGTTATTGATTATTACTGTTATTATTTTCCTTAATTTTTGTGAATGTATTTTGTCTCTTAATATTAGTATTGTGCTGGACAGATTGTATCTACCGTATAGCGAAAAATTTTTGTAGCCCAAAATTTTTCTGGATTTCGCGTTTTTTTTTTAACCCGCAAAAATCAAATCCGTGAATATCGATTCTATACAGTTTAAGATTGCCAGAATGTAGAAAACCACGAATATTAAAGCCACGAATTTGATTTTTGGACGGAGATGCGAAAATTTTGGGCCACGAAAATTTTCCGCTGTACGGTATCCAACAGGTGTGGAGTGTGTCAGATATTCATGGATTACTAATTATCATAGTGATGTCTTTTTTGTTTTGGTACTGTGTGTATATAAACTGTCATTTTTATACTTATTGTTTCGTTGGCAATAGTTGCTCACTAATTCTCACTTCGGCTTGTGCAACTCTCTCTCTCTTTCTTCTTTAATTGTTTTGAAAAAACATTCCTTGGTCAACTATATTGGCGTTAGCAGATTGCGCTATCATCCAGACTGATTAGCAGTCAGCGGGGAGAGCTGTTGCTTTAGTAGAGCATGACTGCATGGTCTATTCATCTGGACGTATGGTTACTCGATCAGTGACAAGAGGCATTGACTTTATAGGATCTTGCAAAGAACTCTACTCCACAGTCCATATGACATGTACATTGTATGTCCATATGCCACTAATACATGTACATTGTATGTCCATATGCCACTAATACATGTACATTGTATGTCCATATGCCACTAATACATGTACATTGTATGTCCATTTGCCACTAATACATGTACATTGTATGTCCATATGCCACTAATACATGTACATTGTATGTCCATATGCCACTAATACATGTACATTGTATGTCCATACGCCACTAATGCATGTACATTGTATGTCCATACGCCACTAATGCATGTACATTGTATGTCCTGGTACAAGTCCTTATGATCCCATACTGTTTGATGCCATTACTCCTGATTTGATTAGGTCCACTGCTCTCAAAACTACTGGATCTTCTGGTCCCTCTGGTTTAGATGCCATTTGTTGGAGGCGACTCT